TATTAATAGTCTATTTTTATAGTTAATTTTAGAAATTAAGTTTAAGAGAATGTTATTGCCAATAATGCCATCAAAGCAATCATGAAATTTAAATTCTAGAAAACTAACATAACAGTTTGTTTTTTCAAATTCTTTAAACAGCGGAATGCTATATTGGATATCTGTTGAAACATTTCTGTTTAAAACTTTTATTGTTATAGAAGACGACTTTATTCTCCATTTCGGATTGCAGACATTAGGGTTTATTATACTTAACTCTGCACCTGTGTCAACAATAAACTTGTTTTCTTACGGGCGTGTCTACGATTATATAGGGTAATTTTCGTGTCCGTCCAATTGAAAATTTGGCGTATTCTCATTTACTCCTACATCCATTGGTTCTGTTAAAGGTTCATTACGTAAACGACTATGGTTTTGATTAGCATTAAATCGCTGGTTGTTGTTGTTATTTGCTTGGTAGTTATTAGTGCTGTTAATTTTACGTGAACTATTTTGAGTTCTGTTAGTCAAATTGCTGCTATTGCTAGTAAGTCTTGACTGTAAAGAAAAATTTGTTGGCGTACTGTTATGGTTTTGTTGTCCGTGGTTATTAGTACTGTTATTGGTATTTTGTGCGTGCTGTTGATTAGCATAATTAGAAATGTTGCACGATCTCTGTTCTGAATTATTTCTGTAATTATATTGAGCCCTGTTAAAACTAAATTGCTGATTTTTATATTTTAGGTAGCCATTTGATTTTATAATGTCATACGCTTCTTTTAATGATTTTGGATTTCTGCTTACAATTATACTTTTAACTGGTTCGGGCAAGCCATATTTAAATGGTTTTAAAGCTATTCTAGCGTTGCTTTCACTAGTCACTTCCGGAAATTGATTTCCGCTAAAGTATAATGCGTTATTTAACCTACATAAAAGAGTATTAAGAGAATTATAAAAACTTTCTATTGTGAAGTCACACCTACAAACTCTTATTTTGTCAATTAGCTCATCGACTGAATTTTTTTCTCCATGATTGTCTATAAGTACTTGCTTTATCAGTGGCCAAGTATCAGGGTTACCATTTATTAATACTGACCTTCTTGCACTACCTACGATCTTATCTTTAATATTACCCATTAATAAAATTTTATAGTCAGCAGAAAATGACTCCAAAATTGACGTCATTGAATCGATGCGTTCTAAAAAATTAATCAGTGCATCCCTATTTCCATCATAAGGAGGTATGCTATTTATATTGGTAGAAATAAGCTTAAATTTTGTATTTATATTTAATGCGTCCATGTCTGCTGTAAAACCTGTTTTTGTTGTACTTAACTTCGAAGGTGACCTCCGGAGAGCTCTAAGTGAATCGCTTCTGTTAACTAGTTGATTGCAGTTATTGTTTTTGTTCGCTCTTCAACTTTCCGACACAGACAGTTGAATTAATTTTGTATGCAGCTGATTTGTTGTTGTTGATTCCCGAAAAATAGTGTCAAGGTGACCTCCAAAGAGTTGCATAGATCTCGCTGCAATTATGTGATGCTTTAAAATTGTTGTTGTTTCTTTCTTCTCTCAATTGGATATTCAAGCTGCTATTTTTTGTCTTTTGTTGTTTAAAGCTGTAGATTTTTAGTTGTTTTTGTAATTTCTTTGATGTGGCTTCTAATCGGCTTCGATTGCTTTTGTTCTTCTTCTTAATTTTAATTTTTATTGCTGCTGATTTGTTTTTCCAATTTTAATCGGCTTAAATATTCTTTGTTTTTGTTATTAAAACAAAATTGCTGTTAATTGTTTTCTCTTGCATACTGTTAAATTGTTTTTGTATTTGCTCTTAAAATATATATATATATTTTTTTTGCTCTTAAATTGTTTTTCTATTTACCTGTTCTTTAAACTTGAGCACGTTATATTTGCTTTCACAATATTGCACGTTTTAATTTTCAAGGTGACCTTCAAATGTCTTACTCTCAAATTCCCGTTTGTAAGTAAATTGTTTTATTGTTGATTTATTTTACTGTTTAATTTTTTTCACACCAAAATGCTTTTAATACGCAATTTTTTTTCGCAATTTAAGTATGTTTGTAAAAATACCATTTACAATTAATTTTTCATTAAAAATGTTCTTGAACGATGTTTTTTATCAAATTTGTAAAAATTTTTTTCCACAATTGATTTGGTTTCTTTCTCAATAAGTATTTTCTTCTAACTCGGTTTTTTATTGTAAAATTGTTCTTTCCGAACTCTTTTAGGTTTTTAATCCGGTTTGTAAAATTTTGTGTTAATAATGCTCTTTTCGAACTATTTTCCACTTCTTTCAAACTCTTGATTAATTTTTAATTTTTGCAGTGCGTTTTTTATCTATATCTATACTTCTATACTAATTATATAAAGAGAAGTCCCTTTTTTTGTAACAGGTAATCTCGCGAACGGCTGGTCAGATTTTCATGAAATTTTGTATACAAATAGCTTTCGGTAACCACCATGTTTTAGACTAAAAAACTTTTACTTTTTTCGGGTAGGTGGACCAGGAACCGGTCTAATCGAAAAAATCTTATTATAGTCCGATTTGCTTCAAATTTAGTACGTAAGTAGCTTTTTAGCATATATTAGCATATATGACCCGTTTTTTCCGGGAAGTGGTCCAGGGACCGATCTATACGAAAAAATCGAATTTACGGTCCGATTTGCTTAAAATTCGGTGCGCAGATAGCTTTTT